AATAAATAAATATAAATATCACGGGCCAGGCAGCCCATCAAGAAAAGGCGTTTGCATTCACATTTAATTGGAATGATTTGATTTTGATGCTGCGCCTCGATAATTTAAAACTTTTCAATTTCAACAAACGGGCGAGCATTATATATTTAACAATGATTGGTTGCTGCTTAATTTTGTTTCTGTTTCTGCTGTTTCTGTTGTTTCTGTTGATTCTGTTGTTGTTGTTGTTGTTGTTGTTGTTGTTTTCCTTCTGCGTTTCGTTGTTGTTTTTCGTTTTCAAGTGCTGCCAGTGGGAACACACAAACTGACACAATCACGACATGCAATAAGAAACATCCCAAGTGTCTTATCTGCCACAGAGATCGCGCTTGCCGTTGCAAGCTCTGCCACAGCGTGTTGCACACACATTCGCTGTGAGGTGCAAGGCAGTCCCTCCATCTATGTCTGCGTGTGTGTAGGTGTAGTAGCAACGCCTCACCCACATGTGAGTGCCTTATTGATTCACATGTTCAAGTTGTTAAAGACGATCTGATGCACTCGACTTACCAAAACCACGATTTAGCCAGAACCATCTTGGTCAGCTTAGACTCTTACATATGGTTACAGCAACCGCTACAGCTATATTTGGACCGGATATACGGTTCGTAGTAGCACTCTCTGTACGTTTATGTGGAAGTGAATGAATAGTAAGGCACCCAAATGCTACCTCTATATTTGTAGAGCTCTCTCTAACTAGATCTTGAATGAATCTATTTATTGCAGCTCGTTTACTCTTCCCGTCTTCAGTTAACAATTAAACACTTCAAAGTCCTCTCTAAGTTCCTCTGCTCCTCTCTCCCATATATGAAGCTCCTCTAAATATCAATTCCCCATTTAACATTTCAGAGCTTCTTTTAAAATGCTCGAGATTCTCTCATCGCATAGCTCACACTTTCCGCTATCTCAATCATCTTCGCTCTCCTCTGTCACATTTGTCACCGCAATACGGATGCAATAATCATCGTAGTATTCATGGGAATACGCGCGGCGTCTCCTTATGCGAATTGAATATTCTTATTTTAGTCCGCTTAAGTAGCTGCTGATGCAGTTGAGTGTCTTTTGATCTTTTAATTTGCTGCATAAACACAATTTGAATCAAAGGCCCACCGACTGCCAGTTCCGCCTCCTCCACGTGTCAAAATATCTGTGTAATATGTAAAGTATGTGAGAGGTGTAATTGTGTTGAAAGGATGCATCAACACGATCTTGTCAAAAGATGGAGAGATGGAGTGCGAAAGAGAGAGAGAGAGAGAGTGTCAGGGTATATTATTTATGTCTTTATATATGTATATAAATGTTCATAATGTTAATTTAAAGACTGAATGCGCCTCGCTTAATTCCTTTAATGAGCTCCATTTCATGTCTCTGTTCAGAACCCTATAAAGATTGATTTTTAGTTGGATTTATTCATATTTTGTAGCTAGAGTACTCCTCGACTTATTTCTCGCTTGACTCTCGGACACTTAATAAAACTTTGACTGCAAGACAAAACCTTTTCGGGTCGTCGTTCCACTCGGCTAAATGCGGAAGTTGAATTTTTGCATTTTTATTTTGCGCAACATACTCTTCTGAGCTGAACTGAGGCGAAATCATTTGTGTTACGATCCCAGCATTGTCTGGAATTCCTGCCTTGGCGGCCTTTAATAACATGTCATTATCGTCATATTTGTTTATAAAGTTCAGTCCACCTGTATATTTAATTAACACTTGTTGTTAACACAAATGCAGTGCTTAAAATTATCATAAGAATTTCAGGGAATGCAGCTGAAACTGAAATGAAACTCAAGTGATTTCTACATATATTGTTTATGTCATGTTCGAGAAGTACTAGATATATGATTAATAAACAGAGTTATGTGTGAGAATCGCAATTTGTTATACAAACAGACCAAATAATTTTTATAGGTAGGGCATGAATGCAAAGGGGGCCTACTTTAATGTATAAGATACTAAGGAAAAGTTTTTAATATTCGTCTTATTTATTTCAAGTTTTCCTTTTATTGTTGTTGTATAATGTTGTATTGATTATTAAATTTGTTTGTCCACATATGTGTCGGTATTCCTCTTTGAGTCCTTACGCCAAGTTGATGAATTAATGCGAGACAAACGACTTTTGCACATGGCTAAGCAATTTGTTGTAGTTGGCAACTCATTCAAATGTATGCGCAGACAGAGAAAGGCCATAGAAATATTGTGACAAAGTTATAAAGGCAACTGCAGAGGTATTCCAATTGAAGGTTGCAGCTTAACTGGAAGCCGACGTCTTATAGCAACAAAAGGTGTTTTTTTTTTTTTTTTTGTCAATCCCACACAAGCAGCGTAATCTGGTGTCTTGTATAAGGCGAAGAAAAAACCAGTAGCACCCAAGACGAAGAAGAAGCAGAGACTGAGACTGTGACTGTATATGAAAAAAAAGAGAAGAGAACTCTCAAATATTAAGCTGACGTCTGTTTTTATGAAGTAAATTATTATTTGATGCGCCGAGCACTTTGTTGATTCTTGTCCCTCTTTGTAGCTGGGTGGGTTAACAAAGGCCTAAATGTGACGATCGTGGGGCGGGCATTGTCAGCGCCGTTAAAACTCTGTCGTCATTTGAAATTGGAACGGATAACGTTTGTCAGCTTAAGTCGATCGCAATATCTGCCCAGGTATTTTCAGTCCAATGATTTAATTATGGCGGGGCGGGCACAGACAGAGAGAAAGAGAGAGAGAGAGAGAGACATCAACACAACTTTCTTTTATACAAATTATTCATTCTTAAATAGTTTCGGGCGACCCAGACGCGCTCCACTGGAGTCAGCTAATCGGTTTATAGTATTACTCTTATGGACTCGTCGGCGGCACAAAGACCGAAACAATAGATCCATTTACAAATGCACTTTCGGTTCATGGAAAAGATATGAAAACTCTATCAGATCGCATTATGGTTGCGATCATTTATATGCACGATGCACATTAAAAATGTGTTAAAGTGATATATTCGTGTTGTACTAATAACTTTTCCATATAAAGGTGTATGTATGTATGTGTGTATAAGTCTAATTTGTAGTATGTGAAGTTCTCTTGAGTTCTTAATGTAATCAAGCAGAGTAAACTAGAGTCCTACGGCTATACAACTGTGCTCAATGAGTTTTCCTGTTCTCTTTCAATGGCTAAGCAAACAAAAGTCAATCAGAGCGACAGGCAGAGTTGTCATGTCAATGTCTTCAAAGTACAGGGTATAAAAACTTTACACCAAATCAGCTCACTGAAGAACAAGCAACGCCGCTCGAGAGCTGAAGCCCTTTACAAGAGGAAAATCAGTTATCTGTTCAGTTTTCTTGCTATATCCTCTGTACACACACACTCACTATAAAATTAACAATTACTATAACAAACTGTGCCCACTAGCATATTACTGTCATTCACTTCGGCTTTGAGTTCTGTTTAGGTCTGCGAATGCGCTTCCGGTCTGCGTTGCAGGAAAACACGTTTCGAGCAAAATGAAATTTTGCTTTTCAGCTTTTTCGACAGCTTTTTTTCTTTTTCTTTTAGAAGACGCAGAAGAAGAAGAACAGATCGTCTGCGTTGACATGAGACCAAGAGACCAAGAGACAAAACAGTCAACAGACTAAGAGACAAGACAAGGCCAATCAAGACGATGACTACTTTCTGACTTTGACATTGTTACGCGATTAATGAATGATTCGCGACTTGAAGTTGAGTCGACTCTACGACACAAGCAACTAATATTAATTATAATTTATATAGCAATGTAGCCTTAACCTTCGATATTTATTATGCGAATTAGTTCTTTAAATCTTGTGAAAGATGTAACTCTTTTGGCCACAAAAATAAGAGCTTTTATATATGCAGCTGGATGAATCGATAGACTGCGTTGTAATCAATCGACTGTTAAGCCCAAGGAGGAATGCTGTATATACATACTGATGTTTACATTTTAATAAAATTTGCTAATATTTTGCAATAAAAAAGATTTGAATTTCTTTAATATGAACCTAGAACCTCTAGAACAAATGTTATTTCATTGACAATCTATACTCTGTTCAAGAAGAAGATCAAATTTCCCTCTTCAATTCCGGCAAGACAGGGATTCTTGACAGTTGACTGTACTTGCTGTACATAAGTAAATGGTGAACCATTCCAAGTACCACAACTAATCTCTTATACCTAAATTATTCTTTTTCTCTTAGCTGTGCCATACCAAGTATCTACCAATAAAAGTCTGTTTGTTTTTTATATATGTATTTTCATTTTTAATTTTTATTCATTATTATTTATATGTATGTAAGTATATATACAGTTGCATTAAGTATATTACACTAAACGCTTAGGGCGCTAAGAACTATGCGAGCTTACAGACAAATTTGTGCATAAAATACAGCAATTATTCAATATATATGTATGTATATATATATTAGTATATATATATATAATATAGGTTCGTACACTAAGTATAAGTAGGTAAATCGTGTTTGCCAATTTATCAAATAAATACATACAATACAAATACAATACAATAATAAATTAGATTTACAAACGACAGGAACAAAGTTTGAACTTAAGACAATAAAAACAATAAACCACTAAATCAATCATTGCTCGCATTTACTTTCATATTTGGTTTGGGTGAGGGCGGGATTTCCAGGGCTTAAGATTGGAGATATGTGATATGTTTTCTTACACTCTTTTTTCATATTTTTTTTTTCATTTTTTTTTTTTATATATGTTTTTTTATAATTTTCGATTTTGGTTTTCCACCCGTTATACAAGCAAGAAGAGAAAAATAATATATATATAAGATATTGATCTATTGTACATACTTAGAGATATCGCATAGATCAGCATCTTCAGCCCGTTCTAGGTGAAAATAAATTTTGTGGCTCGAATCGCACAGAGAGTTGAATTGGGAGTGTGTATTTCAGGCGGTCTGTGGGGATTTCTTGGGGTTTCCTGTTGTCTCGAGATACTTATTTAACTGCATTTTCTATTTTTCTTTTATATTTTGCCTGTGTTATGCATACCCTGTACACATCGAAGTTGGGTATATCTTGTGTGCTTCTCATCTTTCGTTTCTAGTTGTCATTGGGATCGTTTCTCACTAACTCTTACAAATTTACTTCCTATAAGCTCTGATTGCGTAAGTTGTATGTATTAAAATTAATGTATTTTCAATTAGATTTAGGATTTGCATTCCCACAAAAATTGCACAGAGTCCTTTGACAGGATGGCGGCCAGTCCAATGCCGAGTGATTGGGCCCAGCGCCAGCGGGATGATTCTTGCTATTTGGTGTAAGCGGCGTTAATCAAAATACCGAATAATCACATGTAAATTATTGTCCGAAAGTAGCCCGATCTGCGTCGACTATCCCAACCATCCTATATATAGATCCCATATATAGATCGATAGCTAGGCGCGCTGCTGGCTGAGTTGCCTTCCCCCGTTTTTGTTTCTCCTCTTTTTAGACTACGACCGTAGTAGTTGGCTACGGCCGTAGCAGCGCCAGCTTTGGTGCTTGCTGCTGCAGGTGGTGCTCCCGTATGGCGATCAGCGACAGCGACCGGAATGCCGAGATCGGTGATGCGCCCGATCCATTGGCCACCGCCGGCGGCAATGTGGCGTACGGATCGGGGGATGCGGACGCGGACACGGATGCGGATGCGGATGCTGATACGGATGCGGATGCGGATACGGATACGGAAGCGGCTGCTGAATCTGACTGCGTTGGGTGTCATGGCTTGCCGCTGAGGCTGGTGACATTCACACCAGGCGAGATCTTGCCCGAGTTGGAGGACGACGACGACGAAGTCGAGTTGCTCGAGATGGGGCCAATCATGTGCTGTGCCGCCGAGTGGGCGTTGCTGGTGGGTATGTGCACCACATCGCAGCCCATGGAAGAGGACGAGCTGGAGGCGGAGGGCGAGGCACCTGGCGGCGGTGCCACCTGCGCTGCGCCCACATTGCTGCTGGTCGTCAGGCTGAGCGGCGCAAAGTGCTGACCGGTGGCTGCGCCCGATACGGCCGCCTTCCACAGCAGCGGATTCATGCCGAGTCCGTTGTGCGCCGCTAAGCTGGCGCCGAAGTGCCGCTGGTGCTCGAGAAACTCCTGCGTGGGCGCGCTCAGGTGTGCGGCAGCTGCTGCCGCCGGGCCGTAGAAGCCGCGGTACAGATCCGGACGCACGTACGGCGCATAGTTGGGTATGCGAGCGGCCAGCGGGGAGAGTATCTTGCCAGGAGACGGGTGCTGGTGCTGGCCCGCATGCCCGTAGAACGGTGGCTGGGATGGTGGCAGCTCGCCCGCGGGAGAACTCTCCTTACCCGAGCTCGTCTCCTTGCCATCCTTGGCCATGTCGGCCAGCGACCAGATGCGCGGCTTCACGGCCAGACTGCCGCCGGTTGCCCCCACTGCCGTTTGCAGGGAGTTCTGCTGCGCCTGCTGGGCGTGCTGCTGCAGCAGCTGCTGCTGGTGGTGGTGGTAGGCGGCGATGTCGGGGGGCGAGCCAGTCGGGGGGCGGAAGTGGTGATGCAGGGCGGCGGGATGGAAGAGCGGATGGGTGCCTGGCCGGTCGTACAGGTCCGGCGATCCATTCGGCGAGCCTGGCCGCGACTCGGACCACTCACTGTTGTTGCTCTCGCCGGGACGGTCGGTCATCATGTCACCCAGTCGCCCCATGCGCTCCTTGTCGTCATTGGAGCCCAGGCCCGAGTCCTTGGCATCTGCAAAGAGTTAAATGAAAGCCAAATCAATATAAGATTCAATACCCTAACTCGAAGTTTCAATGGACATGGGAATGCATATGTAGGCATATAGCTGTCGGATTGGGATCGGAGTTCTTGGCTTACCTAGCAAATCGTTCTCCTCGGTGTTCTTATCGTTGTCATCGTCGTCGTCGATGTTGGCATCGTCGTCATCGACTCGGTTCCTGGGCTCCCAGGTCATTTTGTTCTCCTTTTTCAGTCTTCTTCTCGCATTCGCGAACCAGGTGGACACCTGGGTCAGCGTCATTTTTGTGATAATCGCCAGCATGATTTTCTCGCCCTTTGTGGGATAAGGATTCTTTTTGTGCTCGTTCAGCCAGGCCTTCAGCGTGGACGTCGTCTCGCGCGTGGCGTTCTTTCGCCTGGCCCCATTCAGGTCCATGCCATAGCTGCAATCAAGTAGAGAGAGAAATGTCGAAAGGATTAGCAAATGCTTGTGGCACTCAATGTGGAGAGAGACAGAGAGAGGGGGAGAGAGAGTGAGAGAGTGGTGGCAAAACTAATGAGTAAAAGGCGATTAGAATCGGCTGCGAGAGTCGAGTGACCTCATGGCCTGTAGAAGCGCTACACTGGTGGCTAAAATAGTAGACGAGCTAGAGAATTACAGCTCCAGACATAAATCACCTGAGCAATGGCAGTTGAGCTGGTCAGCAGGATGGAGTAGTACACTAGTGGCAAAAATAGTTGACCAGCAAGAGAATTGGAGTGAAAGAATTAACTCTTTAAGCTAATGAGGACCCAGCTGTTCTGTTGACATAAGGCACTGTAATAGGAGTAGTACACTAGTGGCAAAAATAATCGACTAGGCAATATTAAGAGGCTAAACAAAAAGCCGTCGGCTGCTTGAGCTGCTAAAAAATTAAAGTTGAAGGGATTAGCAACTGCTGCTGCTGCCGACGGATACACTGGTGTCCTAAATAACACGTCCAGCATGAATCCTAGGCCTAACGACCTGCTCAAAGGCCGTCGGCAGCAGTTTATGCCTCACACAAATATTAGCCCTAGGTCGGCTGATCTAATGGACCCCGAGCTGATTTAAAATGCAGCTTGCAATGCTCTGTGCGGCTTTCAGAGAGGAGCATCGTCGTTGGGGGGCCAGACCATTTGGAGCACTTGTGCGGAACATTTGTTTATAATAAACACATTTGCCAGCCCATTGTCCATTGCCCAATGGCCGTTGGCCGTTGGCCGTGCCCGAGCTACATTTATGTACACATGTGCAGCTCTGCGGTCTGTGCAACACATTTCGGGGCTGACCATGGTAATTGCATGGGGCGTCAGTGTGAGTGTGAGTGCAGCAACTGTCCTTTATCGTTTTTTGTGGCCAGTTAACATGGACATATGCATGAGTGTGTGCAACTGCATCCATAGACAGCAGCAGCAGCAGCAGGAGCAGAAGCAGCAACAGCAGCAGCAGCGGCAGCGGCGACGTCGGCAGCGGAACAACAGATATGCGTACATATGTAGCTGTCCCATTTGTAGTTTCCAGCCAGCTGCACAACTGGTGGACGGACTCGGATACTGATGCCATTTCGCGGCAGTTGCCTCTACCTCTGGCGAGGCACTCTCGCTGTTGCTGTCGCAGTCTCTGTCGCTGTCGCTGTCGCTGTGTGCGTTGCATTAATTAATTTAAATTTGAAAACGAAGTGTCGCCGAGTGCAAAACACCTGCGCCGACAGCCACTCTCTGCCTTTGATCACTTGACAGTTGAATAAATTTTTTTAATTTTCCTATCAACGTCCGGCGGGCCATACATACATATATACATACACTTATATACATATATACATATATACATCGATGCTGGCTGCCGATTGTCAAACAATAAAGCAACAAATCGGGGCTGTGTTCACGCCCACTTTTGAATGAAACAAGGTGGGGCTACATTTCTTTGAAGCTAACCCACTGAATGGGGAATCGCATTCGCCAGTGGGTCGACTGCTTGGCACGTCACAGTGAAATAACTCAAAATTGATTTATTGTGAATATGATTCGATAGACAACAACAACAACAACAACAACAACAGCGGCAGCAGCAGCAACTGCAACGACATGACTCAACTTTCAAATTTTTGTTATGGGTGTCAATTACGAGTGGAAACAATGAGGAGAGTACGACGCAGCCAGCACTCTACCTGGCGAAACGTGACGTGACGGGATGTTGTCAATGGTCGAATCGAACAACTCTGTTTCGGAAATTTATGTGAATGCCGCGCCGCCGTTGCCTCTACCGCCGCCTCTACCGCTGGCTCTACCGCTGGCTCTACCGCTGCTGGCGATGCGATGCGTTGTCCGACGGAAGCGGCTCTCCACTTCGTCCATCGCTCATCAATTACAAGCAAATAAATTGTTGTTAATGATAGAAAATCAAATACTTAAGTATGTTTATTTTATTTGTGTTGCTGTTGTTGTTGCTGTTGCTGCTGCGTGCCAATGCGATTGGCTTTTACTTTTTACGCCGTATTTGGGCTGCATTTTGAATGCAGCTGCACGCAACTGTGGCACAACTTTCGACAGACACTGTTCTGACTCCTGCCAGCGCTGGCTTGTGGCCAGGGCCGCGCCCTAGTTGAGCATTTGCCTCTTTTCATGTGCTGGTCACGTCTCCGGGCTGTGATGTGTTGGCGTTGATCGCCTGTCGGACCACCGTTCAAGTTCTCGCCAAGCCGAGTCTCTTTCTTATTTCTTACGATACGTATGTATATATATTCTTTTCTACTAGCAAATCGGCTCCCTCAATGTCAAGTGTTTGTTATTCAAGCGCTGCACTTACCTATTAAAGGGATAACCGGCAAAGGCTGCGTCATACGGATGATACATCGATGGATATGGCCAGGGTGCTCCGCCGGCCACTAGATTCTCCTTTAGATCGATGCCAGCCTGCAATGAAAATATTGAAATATTGTTAATCAAACTCTTGAAAGACTCAACGCAAAGATTCAATATAATAATAAAACCCCTATATACGATTATCATGTCTGAGTTTTTGCGGCAGAATTTGAACTGTTTGACCAATTGCCAAGACCTTGAACCGAAATTATTAAAAATCATGTTAAACAAATCATTAGTACATATTTTACGCTTTCAGCTTGGGTTTTTAAGAGGTATACCTTATCAACGGCACGAAGTCTGAACGGTGGGAGAGAATCGTATATTTGTGGAATTTATACACAGTGAAGACGTATAGGAAGTATTATTGATAAGTAAATACAACTCATATATTTTAAATATAGTCTATGGTCTACAGTCTCTAGCCTTTAGTCTTCTATAATCCCATTATTTCCACTCATATTTTATTCAAGCCTGCCCATCGTACATATTCAGTGATAACTGATAAAGCCAGAGCAGTCAGCAGACCATGAGGACAAGACGTGACCAAAAGGCGTTCGCATCCGCGTCCACGTCTGCACAGCTCTATTCGCTATATATTTATGTGTATATGTATACATAATTATAGACAGATACTTTGGATTCACAGCTACAGCTATTTAATTTGATAATGAGATGCGAATACATGAGCGCTGTACATAATACAAGTGTGCGGGTAAATGAAACATACATACATACATATGTCAGCCTATGGAAATCTCTCTGCCACGCCGCGTAATTAAAATCACAAAAGCCCGGGCGCACATGTGTGTGTGTGTGTGTGTGTGTGTGTGTGTGTGTGTGTGTGTGTGTGTAAATTGTTGATTAAGTGTAACATGACAATTACTTATATACACATTTAGTAATTTAGTCGTGTCTAAATTCACTGCGACAGATGTCGATGTCAGCTGTTTGTCGTGTACCAAGTGATAACAGGCTAAAGATTGCACCACACACACACACACAGAGGTAGCCAAAAGGGTAGAGCAAGAAGGAGAGAGGAAGGGGGATAAGTGAAGAGCAGCTGCTGCAATGATAACAGAAAGCTGACTACGATAAAAAAAAAACGAGAGAAAACGATGAACGTAAGCCAAAGGTGTGACAGCATTTAGCATTTATTACAGGGTATATCAAGCACAGCTGCTAAGAGTACGACTATAGAGCATGATGATTGAACAATAAGGGAAGACATAAAATCATGAGTATATAGAGATTTGGATAGTGGAAAAGTGTTAAAAAGTAGTCAAAGTAGTTGACCGCTGGCTTTTAGAGGGTATCTGGGCAGAGGCAGCGAAAGGTCATCAGTGCTTGAACATGATGTAAACTATGGGATTGATACACATCTCGGTACATGGCAACGCACGGGAAGCGCATTGTAGCTGCGCCATGTGCCATGTGCCAGGGCAGGGAGTTCCGTTCGCATGTGAAATATGCGAATTGCATGCGACATTGAGGCGGCTGACAACAGTTGTTGCAGTTGCAGTTGCATTCGCAGTTATTGTTGTTGTTGTTATCTTGGTCTGGTCTGGCCTGGTCTGGAAAGCTGGGCCCGTCCCTTTGGCACTTTGGCGAGACGACAGCAAATCGGAAATATTTGTGTGTCGCCAATATGAGAATGTTTTGCCGTTTAGCCAGACTATCGAAGGCAATCGGAACAGCTAGCTGGCAGTGGTAGAGGCAAAGGTTCGTCGAAGGTTCGCATGCCCAGCATGTGGTGAGTTTTTGAGTCGAAGCAGCGATAGAGACTGATAACCGGCGACAGAGTCAAAGACGAAGAGACAACAGACAACAGACGGCAGAAGGCAGACGGCAGACTGAAGACTGAAGACTGAGATCGGCTGTGGTCGCTGTGTCTACTGACAGGTCTACGGCCGGGAAGAGCGCTCGTAACGTGCAGTTCGCAGAAGTCATTTAGCAAAACGTTTTACAACCTTTTGGCCAACTCTGACAATATTAAATTACAGCTCTCGACATCCACAAATGCACACAAGTCCGCGTGCGGAAGGTCGAAAGTTGCCGTCGAGCGATCAATTACCAGTTGGACTGCTGCAGTTGGATACCGATGGCGATTCCGCATCCAATTCGGATTCTGATTCTGATTCTGATTCTGATGCGGATGCCCGATTCCTCAATGAATCGCAAGGGTCGCTCCGCTGAACCGGTTTACATTTTTACAACTTTTACAATAATCGCATTCGGCTATCAAACGTGCAACGTGCAACGTGCAACATGTTCAGCAACAGCAGCCGCAAATAACCCAAAAGTATCTCTTCCTCTCACTCTATCTCAGTATATGTGTGTCTGTGTGTGTGTGTGTGTGGAGTGCGTGCTGCATATGGACATGGACATGGACATGCGAGTGAAGCGCATTCGGCGCAACATCCCATAAATTGTTGCGTTTGCTACTACTTACATAGGAGCACGGCAACCGTTCGTTCGTCCGTTCAGTTGTCCCAGCTCCACCTCCAGGTGCACCTCCAGCTCCACCTTCGCTACCGGCCAACAGCTCGCCCAGATTTTTGCGTGCGATGCAAAATATGAACAACATGAGCAGTCGACATGTGTGTGCAACTGCGTTCGGCGTTTATTATTGCTGGTAGTGCAGCAAGCGCAACATTACATTGCCGCTGCGGCATCCATTACTGCGCCACAGCATTTACCAGAACACGGTGCGCGCCGAGCCGTTCGTAACTGATATGCACATTTAGGTAGCTACTCACTCGCCAACTCTACCAGGAAGTTATTCCTCATTATTGAATTATGTTCGTAGCGCGAGTTATCAATTTCCCTAGTGTTATTCTTCATTTTCTTCTGTTTTGTGGAACTAATAATATAACAATTTATTTGTGCAAATTTTTTGGCAGTATAAATTTGCAGTTGAAGATTTGAGTTTAATTTCCAGTTTAATGAAATTTATATATATTTTTGTTTTTTAATTCCTTCCTCTTATAATAAAGACTTTAATTGAAATATTCTGCTACTAAAATAAAGTATTTTATGCAGTAATTAAATATTCAAGTCTTTACATAAATTATTTTTAATTTTAATAAGCCTCATATGTTCATTGCAGAGCTCACGATAATTGTATTTAACTTTTGATTAAACAAAGTTTTAGATTTCTTCTGCAAGCTGAATTATTATTGAATTTTTGAATGAATTTGCTCTTCTATTAAATCAAATAATCAGAATTAAGATATTTTTATTCACTTATTCATTGCAAAAAAAAATATTTATTCTGCAATTACATTTTAAGTAGTCTTACTACGTTTCATCCCTAGCTAATTTATCCTGCAGATAAATGCATTTTAATTTCTTTCCGCATTTTTCAATGAGTTCTTCAATGAAATTAAATATTTTGAATATTCGTATACTTATTAAAATGATCATTTAATCATAATTTAGCCTGCAGTCAAGTGAATATTTACTCTATCGACTGCCGGCCCATGAATGATGTAAGCAAAACTTGAGCGTTGGCCAAACTGGAGCAGTTGAATTTGGCCACTCTAGAGCTGAAAGCCCATTGCAGCGCTTGGCAGGCAGAGGCAAAAACGCATTCGCAAGCAATTTATATAAAAATTTGCTTACAAATTGTTACTGTACTTTGAGGTATCAATACCATTGTATGGGCAACACGTTGGCGGCATTGGCACCGCATCGGTTCACGCATTGGCGAGTGCGATTTCGCGGGTAAATTAATTAATTCATAAAACTCAACAAAAACGAAAATGAGAATGAAAAGAGAAGAAGAAGAGGAAGAAGAAGGAGAGGTAGAGGTAGAGGTAGAGGTAGAAAAAAAAAACACAGGGTATTCAGCTGATTTTCATTGTTAAGGCGCTGTCTGCGCTTCACGCCAGCCTCAATGGATGTCCCACGAACATTACGCGACATCGACAATTGGCCGACACGTCGACGGCAGAGCTCCCCATTTGGGGCATGGCCATGGGCATGGGCATGGGCATGGGATATGGGCGCAGTTTTGTGGTTTGCCTGTGGTCTGTCGCCTGATGCGCCGCGATGCGAATGATGCGCGTAATGACGGGTCGAGTTAATTAATTGCTGCTTCGATTTAAAAATAAACGCACGTTTACGCAGCGCATTCCTGTCTGTACTCATTGGAACGAGCCGCTTCCGAGGAATGAATGGAATCGGCAACAGCATCTGAATCAAGCAGATGAATCTACATCTGTAGCTGTAGCTGTGCCTGTATCAGATTTAAGATTGACGACAGCGCGGACTTTGACTTTGACTTTGAATGAAATAGAATTTGTGGCAGCAGTCCCTCAGGAGTTGCTTGACTCCTGCAGTTGACAGTTATTGCGCCTGGCGCTTATAAAGTTGTTCCACTGTGAATGTGGCATGGCGCCTGAGGCTGTTCTTGTTGTTATGTGAAAGTTGTTGTTGCTTGTCGTTTGTTGTTGTTGTTGTTGTTGTCGTTGCCATGACTGCTAATTTGTTGTTTGTTGTAGGCAGCCATTCAAAAAACATTCTCGTAGACACCCTCGCTACGCCCTCTACTCTACTCTCCCGCTCCCTCTCCCTCTCTCTTGCTGTATATATAGAAGTGCAAAATTTACTGTTAACGTACATTTTCAACTTTGCCAAAAAGCCAAACAACAACGGCAGCAACACAAAAACTTTCCACAACACTTACAGCAACAACAATGCCAACGAACGTGCACAGTTTGAGGGCAAATGTATTTAGTACTTGGTCCTGCTACTCCTGCCGCTCCTGCCACTCGTCTCGGCTACCAACGCACCCGTCACCTTGCCATTAAGGACAGCAACCACCCCGGGAGCAACACATACAACACGAAGCCAACGTCGACGTCGACACTTCGACATTTTCTAAAGTTGACAAATCAGTGCATGTACGCTTCTCCTCGGCTCTGGCCTGCGCCTCCTCCGGCTCGGTGGTTGTTTCCTGTCGAGTGGGCTGGTGGGGCGGTGGTGCGTGGGTGGTTGGCATTGGTGCGATTTGTAGTTGCTTTTTGGTTACATTTGGCAGGCAAGTTGCCAGCGGCAAAAGTTTTTGTAGAGTAGCTCCCACAGGAACTCGGCTGAGGATATGGATGCGGCAGACACACACACGCACACATATGAGTGCCTATGTGTGTATGTGTGTGTTGTGCCTGGAGTAAGATTATTGTCGAGTGCGAAATTTCATGCCTGCATTGTTGTTGTTGATGATGTTGTGGCACTTAGTGTTAGGATGAAAAAGTCAATATACTCCAGCTGCAGCTGGACTCTGGAGAGGACGAGCTGATATGCTGTAGTTGTTTTTTGGCTGCTCTCAAAACATCAAGTGCTTAGCCTGAGCACAATGCAGGACTCGCCCAGGACTCGCCCAGGACTCTGTCTAATTGGGCAACAAAGTCGAGTGCAAATGCGTGCGGCAGTTGCAACATATGCGACAACGTCAATGTCAAATGACAGAAAAAAAAGAAGATACAAAATAGAGTAGCAGAAGAGCCTTAAGGATAAACGAAACTGAGAGATTAACTGACGGCCCGGCCTGTGACTGCGACTGTGGATAGGTCGGGGGCGGATCACAGGCGGACAGGCTGTCAGTTGCGTGTTGACAAATTTATTAATAAGGTACGAAATACGGCAGTCGACGCCCTCAACGGGCAGGAGCAGGGGCAGGGGCAGGGACAGGGGCACGGCCTGGCCTATTTGTTGGCGGCTCTTCAAATGTACTTTTGCCATTTGAAATGACAGCGCGTTGTTGCACCATCCCAGGAAACTCTGGTGGCAGAGCCACAGCCACATCCACATCCACATCCACCTTCAGTCATCATCCACCATCCACCATTTAGCATGCGTCGCGCCCGAAGACAACGAAATATATGCCCGTGCTGCGGCAAAATGACAGCCGCTTGACAGCTCGTGTCAAAGTAATGAATCCACCGCACAACGCCCGACACTTTTACAACTCCTGTGCCCAGGCCAAGGCTGTCTGTGTGTGTGTGTGTGTGTGTGTGTGTGTGTGTGTGTGTGGATGCTAAGAGAAATAGCTCCAGTTTAGCGCCGCTTGCCGCTCGAGCCAAAAGAATATGCCGCATTGACTAATTACGATCGCCCGGATGATTTATGCAGCTGTGCGACGGAAAATTCGAAACCGTTTGCCTTTTAAACGCCTCAATCAATATGGGAACACATATATGCTCTTACTGATACTTCATCCAGTCAAATGTATATACACACACATGTATGTATATATCTTTTCATTTGAATTTGCTGCGTCAGCGTCAGCAGCGTAGCGTAGGCGCCTTTTCGTATAACCACATTGAGTGCGACAGTTGTTGATCGCCGATCGATAAATTTCAAATGCGACGAGCTTTTATGTGTTTCTCTCTCTCTCCCTCTCACTCTCTCTATGTCTTATGCCTGTCATCATTTGCTCAGATTTTTGTTATTTAGTTTTTAATAAGTCGCTGCTTTATAACAATGCCAAACAAAAGCCAAAATTTATGCTAAACCGCAGCTACTGGCGGCAGGTCGAGTTTTTTGTTCGCTTTTTGTTCGTCAGTCTCTAAGCTTCTTCAAATGCAAATCAATATACTTATGCACACAAACACACACACACACATGCACAAATGAACGTAAACTTTACTAAGTAGTATGTCGATCGATTTTTTCACACACACACACGCACACACTGAAACACAGTCGCATATCGTAAGTCATGAATGTCGTCTCGTAGTTCTTAGCTCATTTGACATAACTACAAACAGCATTCGAAACTGGTTCAACACTAAATCAGTTCACTTTTGCGATTTATTTCTATATATGCATATTAACATACATATATTTCTGTTTTTATTTTATTTTGTCTTTTTTCTTGTTTTAGTATTTGTTTAATTTAAGGAATCATGTTCACATTGCATATGTATATGCGCATATGTATGTCCAAAATATTAATTTATAACTGATTAGTCTTTTTGTATTCTTGTATTTGTTATATTCCATTCACATTATAGCACATAATTCAGACAAAAAGTTGATAATTTTATAAGGCTATTCTGTGCGCCATTAAAACGCAAAACAAATGTCGAGCAGGGGCGAATACTTGAAGCAATATTTACGATATGCCGGATACATCATAGATGGATTAGAATGGGACGACTATTGGGTATGTACGCATGAAGGGGGAAGAATTAATGAACGATCTGACTATCTATATAACTAAGCACAGAGTCTTGCGGAAATCAACTTGTCTAAGAGTGAAACAGGAGAGATTGCTGAGAATGGAATAAAATATCTTTGTCCACTAGTTCAGGCAGACCGACTCATACTTGGAGTTTGTATAAGGGAATATCTGAAAGTCTAATTTATAGTTGAATCTCTATCTCAATACCATATCAAATATTCATATAGTTATATTCCACTTCCATTTTATAGCCAGGAAATTCCATGCAGAGAGATTCTCATTCTAATAATATGATTTATATAGAGTCAGCAACACTTTATCTTCATATGATACCCAATTTGGGGTATTATAATATTAAAGTGCAGCTCGGTCAGCGACTAATTGATTGTCTTCGAGTCCATATGTCAACTACGAGGCTAATGGCCAGAGAGCTCGACATTCTTTGGAATTCAAGTGAATTGTGCAAGCCACACACACAAGATCCGGTCAGCGTCACCGTGGGAGATCTGACCCGTAGCCCTACCGCTGCCGCTGCCCCTACGCCTACCCCTACTCCTCGCTGACCCTCGGCACGGCATGTGGTCCGGAAAGTCAAACCAAATAGAATTGTTTGCAAACAAAAGCAAATTACACGCTGCTATTAGAAATAATTCGGCGAACAATGGACACGCCGTGAAGCGCCGGACATGCTGTAACAGGGACGAGAACGAGAGAAGGAGAACCGTCCAGTGTCCGCTGTCCGCTGTCCGCTCGCCGATGGCCCGATGGACCCATTGTAAGACCCAACACACTGACAGTCGCAGCCGCTGTCGCAGCCGCTGTCGCAGTCGCAGTCGCCGTCGCAGCGGACTGAGCATAAAGCGAGCTCTCTGTCTCATAATAATGCGACTTGAAATATCACCCAGACTGAGAGCCAGGCCGAGCCTTGGGCAGGTCCTAAAAGGTCAGAGGCATGCCACAGGCATAGGCGGCAGCTGGCACAAGTCATAGGTCTAGGGTCCATTCGAGCTGAGCTGCAAGCTCCAAGCTCTTGACAAATCTGTGCCTAGAAAGCAAAAGCAACAGCAACGAAACCCAGACTAAGAGCAAGAGCGCGAGCAAGAGCAAGGGAAAAACTTTGTTGCCAGAGTACCTAACACATGTTCGGAAGCCTGGGCCCATGGAGCTTGTGTGCGTGCCATGGGCACACGATCAAATGACGAATGGGGATGGGGAGGAGCAGGCAGAGCTGGGGCATGACGACGACGACGACGACGACGACGACGACGGTGGTCCCTGCTCGGACGTTGGACAAATTCACAAATTTATTGCACCATTGTTAAGACGCATGACTTATGAACAGACCGTTTAGCCTGGCCCTCGCCCTGGCCCGATCTGCTCTGGGCTGGGCTGGAGCTTGCATGTTTGGAGCTTGACTTACCGGATTAGCGTAGAATGGTGGCTGATCGGCGGCGATGCCCGACAGGTAGGCAGACATGCCCTCGGGATAGACGCCGAGCGGCACGCCGCCGGGTCCGGCGACCAGTCCGCCGGCTGCGGCGAGGCGCTGGTAGTTCAGCATGTCGTATTGGCAGGAGCATATGGTCTGTCCGCTGACGGGATCCGTGTAGATGGTGCGGCCGGTATCACAGCAGCGGTTCGGATTCGGGTTGCCCGATCCGGGCGCTGGCGGCACGCCCGGCGGCGGACCGACGCCCACAGCTGGCAGCGTGGAGGGGCCGGCGCCGGCGCTGCTGCTGCCGGCCGACGCGGAGCCATATGGCGTTACGGCTGATGCGCATGGCGAGCCGGAGCGCGCGCCCGGCGGCACTGTGGAGGTGACCATGCCGGGACCCGGTACGGTCAATGGCAAAGGCAAACCAGTGGGCAGGCCGGCGGCAGCGGCGGCTACGGCGGCGGTCAACGACGGTCCCGGACCGTGGCCTGACCCGGAGCCAGAGCCGGAGCCGGTGGCGGTTGTGGGATTCGCTAGCGCTGGCAGAGGAGTCAACGTTGCTGTCGCTGTGGGCTGCGTGTGCGGCGTCTGTGCGGCGTTCGAAGAGGGCGTGGTAGGCGATGAAGCAGCAAGGCGAGTTGAAACGGCATTCTGTAAAGAGCAAAGTGAGAAGAAGAAGAGAAGCCAAATCAGTTACGAGACACAACAACTACCGTACCAGAATAGACGGTAGATTCTACTCTCTGTCTACTGTACCTCAGCTACGGCAGGCAAAACTTAATTAAAATCGTTGCCCCCCCTTATCAATATCAATGCGATAAGCGCGCGCGAGTCTCTTGTGTACACACACACACAGTCGCTCACACATATGTGGAGACCCTCGAGCTAAAGCCTGTAGAGTACCCCTAATAGCCATCTTCGATTGCGTCCTAGGTGATCATCAAAGTGGGGCCGCCATTAACAACAAATCATGTTTTCGATTGACAACATTGATTTAAATTACACAGCCAACTGCAACGACAACTGCAACAGCAACAGCAACAACTCTGTGTGTGTTTGTGTTTGTCTGTCCAATAACTGGGAACGGGCTTTGTGCATCTCTTGGTCCGTGCCCATGTTGTATTTTTTTTGTTTTTTCTGTGTGCACATAAGCCTATCGCGCACTTTTGTCAACACTTTTAGTCAAGCAACAACTGCAGCAATAACAGCAACAACAACAACAACTGCAACAACAACACACATTCGCACACATGCGGCATGCAGACACAAACAAGTTTTGAGTTTTATTTATTATCGTCTCTTTGGCTGCTTTCGTAAACTTTTCTCGATTTGGGTTTTTTTCTTGTTGTTGTTGTCGGTTGTTGCTTGTTGTTTGTTGTTGTTGTTGTTGTTGCTGTTGTTGCTGTTGTTGCTTGTCGGTTGTCGGTTGTCTTGCCTGCTTTTTCTCTCTCTTTTCTTTTACAAATGATCCAAGGCTCAAGATTGGATTTTTATCGCCGGCCAAACAGTGAGTGATACCACAAACTAGGCAGAGATAGCCAGATAGACGGATGCACTGCCTCCTCCTTCTTCTACTCCTCTCTCACTCTCTCTCTCTCTCTCTCTGCTTCCCTGTCTTTCGCTGCTGCTGCTGCTAAATGACAACTCAAGTGGCCATACGCGATTAAAAATTAATTCTCTGACCCATATGAAGTCCGCTTCAAGTTGGGTTATCAGTTGGCGCCTTTGAATCAGCCGACGCGCAGCGATGTTTATCCGTGCCTGGTTGGCTGGTCGGCCATGTCTTCTACTTGAATGTACGAATATAGCATGTACTCACACAAACACACACACACACAACTCTGTCTGTGTGTGAGTTTCTAGCATCCAAAATGGAAGCGGCGAGCACTTTTCGAATATTGGAATAAACAAAGCAAAACAAAACTTAAGTCTTCTACCAAAGTGTTAAATATCAACACACACACACACACATACTCTCCCTCTCCCTCCCTCTCTCTCTCCTACTCTGCTTGTGTGTAGTTATGTGTGACAGAGGAATTTTTATCTAAACAGCGATTTGCATTTTTTTGCTGTGACTTCAATTCGGATTTTTTCGTTTTCGGTTTCGGTTTCGAATTCGGATTTGGTTTCGGTTTCAATTTTCTTTGTTGTTCTACAAGTTGCATTTCATATTATTTGTTGTTTCTGTTGCTGTTGTTCGGTTGTTCTGTTGTTATTGTTTTGTTTATCGCAAGCATTTTATGGGCTCTTTTCATAGCGCTTGTTCTCGTTACTTATTTGTAATTAATGTGCCAATGTGTGTGTGTGCACACAACTGTGCGTGTGTGTGTGAGTATGCGTATGTGTGTGTGTGTGTGTTGGCGCTGAAGTGTCAAGTAGAAGTTGAATTGATTACATTTGAGCCAAAGAGGCAACATTTACTTGCCATATTTGTCACTCTTATATAGATCGTATTACCAGACATGCACACATGCACACGCACACACACACACATTCATGTATAAGAAATGTGCATTTTAGTATAAGCATTCAAGTATAAGAGCAAAACAGTTAAGGCAGCCACAAAGTATTTGTCGTTTGCAGTTATTTAGTATATAACCCCTCTCCCTTTCTCTCTCCCTCTCTCTCTCTTCATCTCTCTCTCTCCGCCCTGCCCAATTGGCATCATGTATGTACAAGAGGCAAAACACAGCAAATACGAGTGTTCGAATGTGGCATCCAAATGTATGGCTGACATTTGGGGATTTCGAGTGGATTTGGCAGACATCGATTTGAAATTTTCTTTTGTTACGGATTTATTTTTAACAAAATGCCTGCACATTGCGATCCCATCTTCTTCTTCTGCCACTGCTGCTGCTGCTGTCGCTCTTCCTCTTCTGCTTGTTTTCTATACGATCTGCCTCTGTCAAGTCCAATTGCTGCAACTAACAACATGTTGAACATGTTGCGAATTGATTTGGCCAACAAATTTTATATAAACGGGTACATATATCTATGTATATATCTTCTAGTGAGAAAATTTTAGTAAGCAAGAAAGAGAGGGAGGAAGAGATAGCGGAGAATTCGAAAGGAACATCGAGTGATTGGTAGACCAAGTTATGTAAGTCCTTTTTATCCACCTAAAGACAAAGTCTTTCTACAATAGATATATTTTGTATCTTGTGTATGAATTGTATATATTATACTATATACTGTATAAATATCTTTCATATATACAACATTCTTTTATCAAATCTGCCAGAGTATTAATATTATTTTTCAATTCGTTTCCAATTTGTTTTCCTGACAAATTCCTTCTCAAATCTTACGAATTTCATAGAAATTCCATCTTTAATCTTATATAATGCAGCTATATATAATTACTATAATGTTGATCTTTATTTCTGTTGAATACAACTATGTATCTGATCCACATGCAATAACAGTTTTACATATATACTGTCTAAGACTTCCTTATAGAATCCATATGATTATGCTCTTTGCTTATTGCTTCCTAGAATCTCTAATCTCAAAGCCTCGCATACGATTCTTCGATCATAATATTAATAGATAATTGCTTATGCCAAATTTCAGCGAATGTCTATAGATCTTGATCTTGGCGCTTGTCGGCCTTTTTTATATGCAACTAATTGCCGGATATTAAATAAATAACCATTAAATCAAGATTGTAAACTTAATTAAAGCATTTCCTATTCAATATTAGAGTCAATATTGTAGAATGATATTCTTATGGTTAATTTTGATTCTACCCAGGCATAATCATTTAAGCCCCATAAATTATCACTCGATTAAAAGTTAAATAGGCTCTCAATAAGATCAGGTATGGATTTTCTATTAGTTTCTATATATTACTGATCTGATTGACATAATTTGTTATTGATAGATAGAGGATTGAGCTTTACGTACCATTACTAAACAGACACCGGTTTCATTACTGTGCACTGTCATTTAATTTCGGTTTGCTTTCCAAGTTTGAACTAATAATTATTTGTGTATTTTTGAAAAAAACGCACGGCACGAGTCGAACGAAAGCAAACGCAATTCGAACACACAATTCTCCAATTCGTTCGAATTGGGAAACGATTTTTGCTTCATTAACTAAAAACTTCTTGCGTTAGTTGTCTCCAAATTCTGTTGTTTGCAATTTCCTTAATCAACTTTGATCAATTTCTTAATTATTTTGTATCCATGTAGCACTCTTTTTGTATGTATGTGTGTGTGTGGGGGCGTGTGTGTGTGTGTGTGGGTGTGAAACACTTGTATTGAAAAAACTTGCGCGAATTTGTTTTACACTTTTTTGTTGGTGCGCATTGCCGACGGTTAAACGATTGAACGGTTGAGCAATCCCAGAGTCGGGAACAGTTTGCGATTTGATGGGACTTGAACTGCGAACTACGTGGCTCGAGAATCTTAGCGCCTGCTGCTGCTTGTTTATGCTTATGCCAGGTTACAGTCGCCGCCGCCGCCGTAGACGAGGATGGGCGAAGACGAAGACGGAGACGAAGCTGGAGTCGTAGTCGGAGTCGGACTTGCAGTCACAGTTGGAGCTGGAGTCGGAGTCAGAGTCAGAGACGATGGCGATGGCGATGGCGATGGCGATGGCGAATCCAAAGGCAAAGAGGCGAAAGCACAGCGAGCCAATGCAATGCGAAAGTACCGTACGGGCACACTGAATACGGTATCGAATCGAGCGAGGCGAGCGGCACGACAGGCACTAGCGCTGCGGGCACTACGGGCACTACGGGCACTGGCACTGGCACTGACGGAGAGGCGCTGGCACTGCTGGCACTGACACACAGAGGCAGAGGCACAGGCACGAACGGTACGAACGGAACGAGCTGACGAACGAACGATACGAACAATCTGCGTAACAGCCAAAAGTAGACTAACATGAGTTTCTTGAGCAAGTACAAAGTGTACGACAAATGGGAATTACACGACAACCGACAATCGAAAAACAGCGAAAACAGCAACAACAACGACAACAACAGCACTGCCAGCAGTGGCAGCAGAGGCAGCGAGCAGCAGCCACAAGCAGCAGAGCAACACACAGATAAGCCTCGACTCGTACACAGATACGCCGCCTGCGGCTGTGTGTGTGCGAGAGAGCGCAGCGCAACGGTTGGCAAAACTCGTTTCTCCCCTAATTGTGTGCGCTTGTGTGCGTGTGCGGCTCTCTCGCGAGCTCTCAGTGTGCGAGTGTGTGTGTGTGTGTGTGTGTGTGTGAGTGAGCTACAGCAAAAGCAGAAAAAGTATCAACGCTAACGACAACAACAGCAAGAGGAACAGCAACAGCAACAGCAAAAGCAACAAAAACAACTGCGACAGCGACCGTAACAACGGCAATAATGATTATCATTAAAAGTGGGCTGGCTGTTTGTCACGCGGCCATGGGTGCGAGCGAGACGGGCTGCTGAACTGACTGCTGAACAACAGCGAGAACCGGTTGCGTCACGGCAACAGCAACTGACTGCTGCGGCTGCAGCGATAGCAAACGACAAACGGCAAACGGCCAGCAGCAACATCTACAACAACAAGGCGAGCATACAAAAAGTATCTGCTGCTGCTTCTGCTTCTGCTGCTGCTGCTGCTGCTGCTGCGACCATAAATAAAGTATCTGCATTAAGGTGGTGCGCGCGAGCGAGATAGCATGCGAGAGTGCCCACGAATCGCATTCGCTCAGCATGTTGTTGCTAGCTGGCTGCTGCCTGTTGGCTGTTGGCTGTTGTCGGCATCGTGTGGACGCGCCGAGTGCGGCAGTGGCCGTCGCCGTTGCCGTCGCCGTTGCCGTTGCCGTAGCTGCCGCGTGTTAAGTGCGAGCGAGCCAGCAGAACATGAAAAAATTAACTTAACAACTAGAAAAATGGCTGTTATTGCGTGTTGTTGTAAATGCCGATGTATGTATTTGTACGCACTGTTGTTGCCTTTGTCGTTATTGTTGTTGCTGCTGCTGCAGCTACTACTTGCTGCTGCTGCTGCTGCTGCTGCTACTTCTGCTTCTGCTTCTGCTGTTGCTGCTGCTGCTGCTGGTGGTGCTGCCAACTGGGGGCTTGGAACTGGATGTCGGTACGTGTGTACAAGTATTTGTTGCCATAAACAACACGAGCTGCGAGGCGAACCGCTCGCCGTAATGGAAATAAGAAAAACTTGATGAACATGAACAAAACTCGTGAAAGGGGTGGGCCAACGTTTCAGTAACTGCTACAGCTACAGCAACATCTACAACTACAGCTACAGCTACAGCTACAGCTTGAGCTCAGTAAGTTTTTATCATCCTCTGCTGCTGCTGCCGCTGACCATGCTGGCTGGCTGGCTGTTGCTGGATTGGCGGCATCTTCCGCGCTGCTGGCGCCGACTGTGCCACCGATACCGATGCCGACACCGACACCGACACCGCGACTGCCACTGCCACTGCCACTGGCACAGCCATAGCCACAGTCGCTGGCACCGCAGCTGCTATTGCATGCGCGCTTACATTTTATTACGGAGATATTTGTTTTTTGCTTTGCCTCCCTCTCTCTGGGCTGGGCGGGGGTTGGGTTTCTTTAACTTTTTCTAATTAATTGAAACGCCACTCGTGAGGAGTGACGACGACGACGACGACGCCGACGGCTGGCCGCGACAAGCGAGACGGCTGAGACGAGCGAGTGCGAGCGAGATGGCTGGTGCGAGCGGGATGGCGCTTGGGGAGCGAGTGAGAGCGCGCTGTCGAATCGTTTTTGTAGCTACATTTAAGCACACACACCTAGACACACACACACACACACGCACACATGCAGAGAGATGTACGTACACATGTACGAATGTATCCAACATATGTATGCCATTTGAATGGGAAACGTTTGCCGCTGCAGCTAAATTTCATTTTAAGCTTTATATTGCCACCCGACATCGCGGCCCCCACACATACCCCGCCACGCCCCCATTGGCAATGGCACTGCTCGTGCATTTTCCACCCCTCGGAAAAGCGCTGCTGCTGCTGCTGCGTGGTGCGGGTGTCGCACACGCCGAAAACAAATTCCTACAGCATTTAAATGAAGTTACTTTGTTGTCGTCATGTAAGTGAGTTGGTTTTGCGACAGCCTCAGATACGTTTAAGTTGCCGCCCCGCCCCACCACGCCCCGCCCCACCATGCCCCGCTCCGCATCTGCCAGCAACTCTTCTTCTTCTTCCACGCATCCTGTCAGCCCCTGCGTCTCTATCTCGCTCTCTCTCTCTCTGTTTCTCTAAGTGTATGTGTGTGTGGCAGCTGCTAGCTGATGTAAACAAAAAAAAATCTAGTTGATGATAATGTTTCTTCTTCATTGAACACCAACAGCTCCTAAACACTTTGACCATATATTGTAGCTAAACATTTACGCATAAGCTTATAAGCATTCAGGACTTTCAGATGGAATCTGGCTACGAAATTGACACCTTCAAAACAGGTATTTTTTCTGTTTTGTTGAAGAAATATCTTAGTTTTTATAAGTTTCTTGTCATTCGATATGTTTTTGGCAAAAATATTTTAGATATAGCTACGTCAACATTTGAAAAGGGATTAAAGAAAATAATTATACACGATGGCAAAAAAAAAAAAAAATAATAATAATAATAATAATATTGATCTATATGATGTAATCATATAATAATGACAATTCAATCATAATAATAATAAAAATTATAAAACAATACGAATAATATGTTATTTTTCTGTTACCAAAATAAAACATAGTCTGAAAATTGCAATGGAAATAATGCAAATTGATTAGTGATTTTTTTTTGCTGCATATAAGAAACATTTTTGAGATCCTAGTAAAACTTTGATCGGATCAAAGGATATGCCAAATTTCACTGGGAATAAAGAGGTGATCTACAGTTACAAAAACTATTTCTTGTTTAGATGGCTTACCTGTTTCTTTTATGCTGTAAATATGTAGAGATCTCAAGTTTTTTTGGAATATCTTTTTAATTAAATATGGTTAAAAATGCTTATTGCATATTATACATTCATTCCTATTAACGTTTTGTGCCAATAACATTTTAAAACCTTAAAACCTTAACATGGAGAGCTTCTAAAATTTATTATCAATTTAAGATTAATATGGAAATAAATCAAAATGATGATATTCTGTTGTATGTGTGTATATACATTATTATAAGTAGGTTGCTACATCTATTAAATAATATGCATATGTATATTTACACACATCTACACTCCAATATTCAAATTCATTCATCTAGTAAATTTGATGAAGTATACCATATTCCCCTGGTGAAGATAAATTGCCCAAGTGACCCATTCATTGAAGCATAACTCTGATCGCAGCTCGAATTTCTTTGTCGTTTATAAATGGGATAGATTGATAGCTTAGATCTATATATGGAAGGCACAGCTATAAGAGAACATTCAAGAGCACAAGAAATGTCTTTTCTGATCTCCAAGAAATGTCCCAGGCTGTAGCAGTCGCTATCCACTGCGAGCCTAGAAATGGCATAAAGTTATACTTGAAGCTGTTATATTAAAATTTATCAGATCTTAGGTAATTATATTAGAGATATGAATAGTCCAGTATATATTTTAGACAGTTATTTTAGATAATCATATTAGAGTCATGTCCAGTATATATTTTAGATATCAACCTTAATGATCTTCTAAAAGATCTTCAGTTCCACTCCACTTTAAGCGCGTCTTGGCTCGTGTCACATTGTGCTATATGAAAGTAATCTTATCTTATTGTAGGACCCTAGCTCCCACTCTCAATTAAGTAAGAAAATCAGCAGAGCTGCATCCCTGACACAAGAGAATGCTAAATTATAAATAAAATGTCTGATTAAATGATCCTCGCATCGGTCTGGCCGCAGGCCGAGCTGAAATCTGCGGCAATTCGAGCAGAGGCACATCCGTTGCCATATTTGCATACATCTTGCTCTGCCTCTGCCCATTTCTTTTTGTATTTTGTGTTTTTTTGGCAGTAATTGGCCTGCGGGCAACAAATTCAGATCACGTTAAGTCATTGGCGAGGGCACAAAATGCCGTCGCGGTTGCCACAGAAGCTGCAGCTGTAGCTGGATATGTGGAGAGCTGGAGACGGCCGCAGCAACAGCCGCAGCGACATTTGCTGCGAGATGCTGGGTGCACTTGGGCAGGAGCCGGGGCAGGGGCGGTGTCGGGGGCGACAGTGGGAGGGACGGGTGCGGGCAGGCCACATCTCTTGAGTGCAGGAGGCGGGCGCTCAATGGCGCTATGGGAGCCGCAGAAAGAGAAAGCTTCGCTGCGAAAAAGCAATGCTTGAAGCTAGCGGCAGCAAAAGCAGGAGGGCTAGATTACTGCTGGCAGGGCAGCTGCCACCCGCGGCTCCACTGAGCCAGCAACAGCAACAGCAACAGCAACAGAGCTACAGATATAGATACTGTGGTAACATCAGTAACAGCGAATGTCGCAGTCGTTAGTCGCAGTCGCTGTCGCTGTCGACGTTGCCATCGCAGTCGCAGTCGCTGTCAGCGTCAGCGTCGCAGTCGCCAGTCGAAATCCAGAGGAACAACGTCAGTCTTTGTTTAACGATTTTTATATTTCGAACACGAGATACATTTGTATCTTTTGTATTTTTCTTGTTGCCACAACTGCAGCGTGCGTATCACTGTATGTATATGTATATGAATGTATGTATGTGTGACTCGGTTGCTGTTAGTTGCGCTCGTATTGGTGGCAGCTTATGCCTTCTGCCTTGCCTGAATTGTTATTGTTGTTCTTGTTCGTGTTCTGTCGTAGATATCAGCAGCAGCAGCAGCAGCGGCAGCGGCAACGATTGCTGCTACCTCTTACTTCGCCCCCCATTCGCCCTCTCCCTCTCTCCGCACTCCTCCCTGTTCATATGTGCCGAGTGTGTTTGCACAAAGCCAATGATGATTGTGAGCTTCGGGCTCAATTTTCTTACCACTTTATACAGTG